GTTGATCCTCATGTGCGAATTTAAATGCGTGCAGGTGTGGACTACTCCGGTCTAATTCAAAGGGGGAGGGGAGAGGAGTAACAGTTAAGTAATGTTCAAATGTGGACAAGTTTATAGCTGAGCAATATCTGGAGTCCTCATGCTTCTTATCCCTGTGGTATGGCATGTTGAAAAGAATGCCACCTACTTTCTGCTTAACATAACATTGCCCACAACTGTAAGGTTTACCATTTATAATTTATTTAGCACAAATACCATTTAGAGATGGGAGCTTCCCAGCATGCAAACAACTGCACCAAGCTTCTGGGAACAAGTGGTTTTGGCCACTCCCCCCAAGCAAGCAAATAAATTAGGGTTGCCATACATCCAGATTTTCCTGGACATGTCCTCTTTTGGGGGGGTAAAATCTGAGTCCAGGGGGATTTTTTTTAACTTGGCAAAATATCCGGGGTTTTTTGTTTGGTAGCAGGCAAGAGGCAGGAGCATCAGGGCCCCTTTGCGGAGCTGAGCTGGGGAGCAGGAAGGTTCCTGATCTCCAGCTGAGCCAGCCACACACACACACACACACACACGTGTGTGTGTGTGTCTCCTCTTTTTTGCCCTTCCAAATATGGCAACCCTAAAATAAATGGCAGTTGTGTCATGTGGACTATGGATCACAGTATAGCTATTGGCAAGTTTACTCTATGCCATGCTCTTTGGCCCCTTTTCCAAGCCCCCCCCCCCAATTGCTACTGATTTGTGCACCTTTTAAACAGTAATGGAAACAACTTTTTCCCCCCAGGGACCTGGAACTACAGCTGGGAATGCTCCGGTTAGCTTTAAGGAAGCAAGGCTGCACTCTTTTCTTTTTTCTTTTTGTGAGAAATGCCTTCTATTAATTAGCTATTGTTACTTTCCAATTTATATCTCTGGACTCTCAGCTGGGAGAACAGTGGCTAGGTTATTGTGAGTGGAAAAGCAGTGGGATGGGGGAAGGGTTAAGCACTCGTTTCCTCATAACACCCTTCCCCCTTTGTAAAAAGGAGCAGTCTGCTGACAAGACTGGTGATAGCCAAAACACCCTAAGAGGTTTTAGCAGGTTTTTTTTTAATCACCTGGGAAGATCATCCCACTGGAAGGGTGAAGGATACAAACATTATCAAGGTGGGAGTTGATCAATGTTGAGGGGTAAAAATCCTCAAATGTGAAGGCTAGGTGGACTTTTACGATACAATAATCTTTATTGTCATTGTCCCATACAGAACAAAGAAATTGAAAATCTACATCAGACATTCAGAAACCAACAAGCCTGCTATCCCAACTATCCCAGCCTGGTTAGCCCCCCCAAAACTCTGATACCCCATAATTAAATACAATATACTCCCATAGAGACTACCTTACACTACATTTAAAACCAAAATCACATTTGAATAGAAACTGTTTCTCAGATGGCTAGTCCTAGTCTTTATAACCCTGTACCTTCTTCCAGAAGGCAGAAGCTGAAAGAGATCATTTCCGGGGTGTGCACTATCCTGCACTATCTCTGCAGCTTTCCTATTGGACCTGGAAGCATAGATTTGAGGCTGAAATGGAGAGAGACAGACAGCCTGTGTAGAAATTTAGGGATGGTTTCAAGATCTAGGATGAAAAGGCAGCAGAGATACAACTGAATCACAAAGGCATTCTGAACTGCCTCAAAGGGGAAGAAACAAGGGGGGAGAAAAATTAATGGGAATTAAGTCACAATCACCTAGGAGAGATATGAGTGGAAAAGGCTGGGACTTATAGGTATTGGAAGATAAATAAATGATGGGATCTGGCATGACCCTGGATTTCTGGCAGAAGAGGAAAGGGCCAGTCCCAAAAGCCTCAGAGTCTAGAGCGATGGTGTTAGCCTTTAGGGCTATTGTTATTGTTTTTAGGTTATTATTTTTGCTGCAGCTGGGCAACACTTCTGGATGTTAGTAATATAGTACTGAGAAGATGACAGTAGTGCATTGTTAGCATGCAGGTGTCCTTGAAGCATGTCTAGGCTTTAAATGGACTCTGAATGTATTATCATTAGTCAGATTCGTTCAAGTTTTAATGCAAATAACACCTGCTAACCCAGGTGGCCCAACTGATTAATATTTGTTAGAAGTATTAAGACAGTTACATGGTTAATGCATATACCATTAACAAGGCAAGCCTATGCATGGTTATGAAGTCCAATGGGCCTTACCTCCTAGTCAGTAAGTTTAGGATTGTTGTAATTCTATGCACATTTTATTTTGAGGAAACATCACTGAATTGAGTAGGCCTTGTTTCCAAGTACGCACCCATAGGATTGGGCTGATAGATGGCTACAAGTACAGACCCTGTAGCAGATACATGACTGAAAATCCCCAACTATTCCAAAATTGCTGAGCTTTCTTTAAGAAACCCACCAAAATTGTCAAGCTTTTTTTGGGAATAAATCCAGTTTGGGGAAACCTTTTGGGCAAAATGCTGCCATTTTTACAGGACATGTCAGGAATTTTGCTGACGTATAGCATTTCTTCCCTTCACTGTTCACTGTTCCAAACTTTTATGGCCACACTCAAGAAGGGAAAATAGCAAACTGTTCACAAGACTTTATTTTTTAACCATGCACACTAAAACTTTAAATAAACCTTTTTCATTTCAAAGTTAGTTACTGATTCTGTTTGATTTTTGTAGCCCCAGCTGACAATTCTTTGCATTAGAGCAGCATTTATGGATCCTTTAAAATAGCTAAAGAATTTAAAACTGTCTTGTGTTGACTGCAGAAATAATCAAGGAATAATCTAAAACATGGAGCGCATGTCAGTTGCTTTGTTTTTCATTAGGACATTTTTTTTAAAAAAACACCCAATCAATCAAACTTGCAAGTGAAAATGTGCTGCTTTGCATGCACAGACATAGATATGACTTTGAGAAAATCTGAGATCACTCTTGCCAATAGACCCGTTAAATTGGTTTTATCAGTCTGGTTGACTGGAATGTTTGAGTACATACAATAGACTCAAGTGTATTAGGCTGAAAGTCTTTCTAATACACTGCCGAATTAGATATGGCTAAATAGTTTCATTGCAGCCTTCAGCTGCTCTTTCACCCCCCACCCCCATCTTAACATTCCAAAATGAAAATGGTTTGTATGGAAACTTTCATAATATATTTTTTAAATTCAGAATTCTAATGAGCCTCCTTAGAGGCACCACACAGTGTACACTTAGGGGCTGGGCAAATTGCAGAAAGTAGCAGCAGCTAGTTATATAAAGCTAAGATTTAAATCAGGCAAGGAGAGAAAACAAGTTGAACTTTCCAAACCATAATGGTATTTCTGTGACTCATTCTGCCTATTTTACCCTTAATTTTTTTTTAAATAAAAAAAATTAGACGCAGGATCATGACTGTTAGTCCAGAACAACAGCGTCAGCCCTGTGCCACATGTCACAAAATGTTGTTGCATACAGAAGATGAATAAGGGAAAACAAAGACAACTGGGGGGGGGGGATCTGAAGTGAAACTCTTATTAATATAGAACTGGGCACCACAAAGTCTGGAGGCAACAGAAGAAGAACAATGGCTAACAATCTAAGGAGGCTGAATCTAGCCCAAGTATTGAGGAGCAAATACAGGAGAGAGATATTAATAGGAAAAGTCTGGTATCAACCAGAAACTCTTCTATGGCCCCAGGAATATAGATTTCTTTATTTAGGCATTTGTTTTTAAAATAGCACCCCGTGGTGATACACAACAAGGAAAATACAATCCCCCAACACCAGACCCTCCAAGCGTCCCTATTTTCCAGGGACTGTCCTGGATTTACAGAAGCTGACTCAGTTTCTGATTTGATCCCAGAATGTCCCACTTTTCCTTAGAACATTCCGATTTTCATCAGAGAAATGTTGGAGGGTATGGAGTTTTGCTACCTCAGAACCTCAGAGATAAGCAGCTAAAAAACCTTTAGAAGACATCTGAAGGCAGCCCTGTATGGGGAAGTTTTTAATGCTTAATGTTTCATTATGTTTTTATATAATGTATGTTGGAAGCTGCCCGGGGTGGCTGGAGCAGCCCAGTCAGATGGGTGGTGTACAAATAATAAAATTATTGTTGTTGTTGTTGTTGTTGTTGTTGTTGTTGTTGTTGTTATTACTATTATTATGGAACAGGATGTCTCTATTTTCATTGGAGAAATGTTGGAGGGTATGCAACATGCAACCCATAGTCACAAGATATCTTTTCCTGGCGCCCTCAAAACTTCTGAGTCCCGACTCACTGGCCCCTCAGTCATGAGGTGCTGTGGGTGGTTTCCCTCCTTTCGCCTGAAAGGTACATAGAGTTGAAGGAGAAGGTTGATAGAGTGGCACTCTCTTCCACTTCCTCTTTCCGCTCCATGTCCTTTCGAAGGCTCTGATTAATTCTCCTGGAGCCAACTTTCACCTAGATCCCTTGGAAAAGCAAAGTATGCAAGGGCTCTTCCATAGTTCTGCTTGGCCCGCCGCTTTTCCCTGGGAAAACCCGCTCTTTACCAGTGAGTCAGAGAAAACATCAGTCAGGTTTTCTGCGGATTGTTGTTTGCTCCGATTCAGTTGTAAAGAGCGCCCTTTCCCATGGAAAGTGGTGGGGCAAATGGAAAACGGGTTGGACTCATGCCTAGAAAGCATGGGACAAGAGGACTGACCTGCTGGGAGCCTGAAGGGCGCTGCCCTGCTTCTCTCCATCTGGCTTGGGGCGGGGCCTGACAGGCTCCATAAAGGACTGCTGCTGCTGCTGCTGGGCAGAGGCCTCCGTTTTTGTTTTTTAAATTGCTTTTGTTTTTTATCTATGTCATTTTAAATTGTGATTGATATTAATGCTGTATTCTTAGTTTTAGATTTTATGATTTATGTGGAAATTGTTTTCCATTTGGTTGTGTACTTTTTGATGTGTTTTATTTATTGCTTATGACTTTTGTTATGTTGCTAATTATGTAAATCTTGTCATGTTGCAAGCCGCCTTGAGCATTGTTTTAACTATGGAAAGGCAGCATTGGAAATAAAATGATGATGATGATGATGATGATGGGAAACCTCTTGAACGTGTGCTTTTCAGGTGCAGGAACAGTGAAGTGTGGATGAGCTCTGTGTGTGTGTGTGTGTGTGTGTGTGTGTGTGTGTGTACACTTTCTTTCTCTTAGTGGAGGTGGGAAGGAGAGAAGAGATCAAGAGGGGTCTGGCATGGGGTTGACACTTGGGCCAAAAAAGGTTGACAACCTCCACTTGAAAGAATATTAAAATCTTTTTAAAAAATAAAAATAAAATGCAGTTGCATTTGGGGGACAAATCAACACAATACCAACTCTGGAACTAAACATCGGCAGAGGGCTAAGAATGTGGATTATCTGTTCAGATAGATCCTATTTCATCCCTAATCACTGGCCCAGTTTGGGTGCTTTTGACCCCTGAGGTGTCTTAAGGAATTAGGTATGCTTGAGGAATTTGATCTTTGCCAATCCCTATGCAAGAATGAAATGATCATCACCTCTTAGATTAATGTGTGAATTGGAACCTAGAATTTATGCAGCTCTGCAAATACTATGACTCTTATTGGCAGTTTCATTGCATCAAAATACATATTGAAATATGTATTTTGAGAGAAAATAAGCATTTAAATAAATATTCCAAGGAAAAACAGACATTTAGTTAATGGATACTCTGATTCCACACCACCCCCTCATAAAATAAGTAAGACTTTCAGTTAAAAACATGAGAAAATGACTTCGATTTGAAATAGTCAGATTTGTTTATTTTTATTTATAAGGGATCCTTCTGTCATGTATGATCTAGTTGATAGTCCAGCATTGCAAGGAGTTGGACTTGATGATACTTGGGGTCCCTTCCAAGACTACAATTCTATGATTCTATCTCCCAAGACTCATAGTCACCCCTTCCTGTTTTTCCTTATCAAGCCGGAAACCCTGTTTAGTGCACCACAGACCCTTAGTGTCACAAGAAACATGTGAAATGGATGATTTGTTTGTGACCAGACTATGTAAAATGTAATTAGTATGAACTGGAGAAAAAACCGTGGTGAAAATTACGGACAGTATCCAATTCAATTGTTCAATTAGTGGAAGGATTTATGCTTGTACAAATGGAACTTCTAATGTCCTCTCCCTGTGTGCATCCTCCCCAAATCTGCTCCGGAGGGATGGGGAAATGCCTGGAAAAGATTTAGGGTGCATGGAGGGAAGGGAAAGGCAGGGGTGAAGGAAGGGGGTTGAGGGGGGTGGGCCACCCCAGGTGCCATCATGGAGCGGGGTGACAAATTATCAAGGAACAATTACTGCCCTACTAGGGCGGTCCATAAAAAACTCTTTTTTTTAAAAAAAAGCCTCTCCTCTTGCAAAGAGGGGAGGGGTTGTGGGCGGGACCCGATGTCTGCCTCATGCAGGGGGTGTTTCCCCTGCTCCCCCCACTCACCTGGCTGGCGCACCTCGCTCACAGGTGAGCCCCCAATCGGGTGGCTTGGAGGGGGCGGGGTTTGCAGCTCAACTTGCTGCTGCGCCAGCCATGTGGCTTCATGGCTCCTCCACCAAAATAGCTGTTTACTTGGCTGTTTTCTTATGTCGTGAAGGCTGAAATTTCAATTCAGAGGAGCAGGGTCAAGATATTAACTGATATGCATGAAATCTCAGATATAGCTATATAATCCCTAGTTTAGTAAGATAAGACCTTTGGAGCAGGCATTTTTTTTAAAAAGTTTTTTTTTATGAACCGCCCTACTGCCCTACCCTCCACTGGGCTTCCCTCCCCCACCTCCAGTCTCCGTTGTTGTGTCTTTATCAGTTGTGTGTCCTGGCTGAGGGGAAAAACAGAAGATGGATGGCCATCGGTCAAGGATAGTCTTGTTGAGATTCCTGCATTGCCTCATGGGTTTGGCTAGATGACCCTCAGGGGTCCCGTCCAACTCTCCAATTCTCTGGCGCAGGCTTGTGCAGAGTTTTACGTACAAGTTGGATGCAAGGGGTGCATAGGATTGCAGCCCATCTTATGCACCATCGGCTCGGGAATAAGTCCCACTGGTCATGATGAGACTAGATTGCTGCTGTGCAGTCCTGTTTTTTTAAAAAAATGTTTTCCTTTTCAGATAATACAGAGCATGGTGAAATCGCAATAAATAAAACCTCCCCTTCAGTAGTTTCAAGCACTACTACAGGTTCCACATAATATCTGTACTGCATTGTTTACTGTGACAGCACCTGCACTTTGGAACTCCCCGCCTATTGCAACAAAGAATGTGCCTTTGCTAGACTCTTTCTGGGCACCTGCTGAAAGCATTCTTCTTTAGGCAAGCATACCTAGATGCTTAGGAAGTTGAAGTAATTTTAATTTTAATATTTTAGCTTTGTATGTTTTAAGGTAGGATTGTTAATTTTTCTTCATTTTACTGCTGTGGTGTTTTTTTGTTTTGGTAAACCACTTTGCAGGTTTTTTAAAATAAATTTTATTAAATAAATAAACAATAAATATAAATAAAATAACACAAGCCAAAACACAATCCATCCTGTAGATTTAAGTATCTGTCCATAGTCACCTACTTGTTATCAGAGGCCCAGAATCCACATTCCTTTGTAAGAAAATATGAAATAATGTAAAACCATTTTTGCAGGCAAAAAACAAAAACAAAAATCAATGACGGGGGGGTTGACAAGAAATTTTCAGCGCCGGGTACCACCTGACCTTCCTATGCCTTTGGGGAAAGGAAGAACATTCCATTGCACAAGCAGAAATCCTTGCACTGATGGAACATTCATGTTACATTACTTTGGACTCAACCTTATACATTGGTCATATCACACCCCTGTTAAATGTTTCCAACCATCTCTGATTATTGTTGAAGCTGCAGGTCTGCTAGAAATACTTTTGCATATGCATGCAGGTAGCATGACATGATTAAAGATTTTTTTTTGAACAAAATCAAGGAACAGAAACAACAAATTTACATCTAGACACCTTAACAATGCTATTAAGTAATGCAGGATACTAGGTTCCTGAAAGTTCTTTTGTTTTGGTCTCTTGTATGTTGATAATGTGGGTAGGGGAGGAGGAAAACAGATATACTATCAAAGGACCTCTGAAAATGGAAAATCTGGGACATAATGATGATAAATAAAGTAACAAGGTATAAGCATTTATAAGTTGGAAGGATCTATTCAAAGGACACCTTTAGAAAAAATGGTTACCATTTTTATTGGGCTGGAATCAATATAAAACAGTTGAGGCAGTGATTGTGGATGTGCTAATATAATTAAATGGATCTATACATGATTATTGTGCATTATAGAATGGGAAGAACCAAATAAAACATCCCCCCTTTAAATTAAATGTTTTTATTTCAGTGTTTGTAACAACACTAAATAACAATACAATACAGAGCAGCCATACAATTCATATCATTATCAACTGCATCTTTCATTGGTCCCATCTAGTGGTCATGTAGAAGAATAAAAATAAAGTGTCAATTATGATGTAAGTAACTTAGCTATAGGTTCATAAGAAAATAAGTATGGTGTAGAATTTACACCTGGAGATCCCTACATAATGTTCCACGTGTTGTGGGTGGCCTCAGCATGTTATACCCTGTATGTGCTGCTCCCCAAAGTGACAGGGAAACCCTGTGAGGAAGGAAAAACGAAACAGAGCTGAACCCATCCAAGTAGCAGTCATAGCAAAAATCCCTTTTTGGCCTGTTGGTGAACCAAAGACTGATGCAGATCTGGAGCAATTCCTTCAAACACGTGCAACACAGACCCTTCACACAGCATAGGCAAATAGGAAAATCCAGCCCATTTTAGATTCCTTTGGAAAAAAGCCTTCTTCCAGGTCTGGAGGCACCATGGGACTTGTCAGTCAAGGGCCAACCTTTGAACTGGACGATGTTTGTGCTACACTCCCTGATGCAAAAGTCGGCCCCTTGCAACCTTTTAGAGCAAAACGCAGTACATTCACTGAGTCCTACAAATTCTGTATATATATATATATCATACATTTCAGAAGTATTATTGATTTACATATTGATGTATGCTTCAGAGGGAAAAGACCCTGTGTTTTGAGAGTAGGGAGGCAATCTGTTGCACATTTATTTGGGAGTCATCTAAAATATATCCACCCAATTCCTTAATTTAGCCTACTGTTGATTTCGGTCTTTTGCAGTTTGAAGAAGTAATGGCAATTTAAGGATCTGGTACAGTTGGGCTGTAATTCACCATATATTTTGTTAAACAAGACCAAATATGTGAAACAAAAGACACCAAATTCATGCATCCAGAGCACTGTGACTAAAATATACAGTGTCAGACTGCTTAAAACTGGCTTATAGAACTTCAAAATGCAGGTTATTATGACAAATCTATGCTAATAGCCCAGTCCTCCACAAGCTGTCATTTAAGCCTGGGTTTAACTAAATGAACTGAGTTTTATTTAGCTAGCTAAAATTTTATCAGATAACTTTTTCAGGATTTTCACCACTCCTTCTGTTCCTGAACCTTGGCTTTCCAGATTACTGAATTTTTATTTGATTTTGAACGCACTGTAAATGCACTAAGACACACCGATCCATGTCATTTGCTGGTGGCCGTATGATGGTGCTTAGAGATTCCTCTCTGCCAGAGGTTACCCCATCAATGGCAGGGTGTGAAAAGTGCTGAAATGGAGCATTTCATAGTTGCAACACCAGCAACTTTGGATCCAAAGTCCCATGGGTCCAACTCCCTCAGCTACACCAGCCTGGAGCTTGAAAACGTGAGGGGAATCATTCTCTCTTCTTCCCTGGTTGGCACAAGCTGGAAGGGCTTTGGGTGCAGCTTTGAATCCTCTGCTTCGCACTTCCCTGGCCTTTTGTTCAAATTGCCCTGTTAGAATCTGTCGAGTTACCGCTGCTCTGAGCTGAAACTTGCCTGGCGACAAGGATGTGATCTTGTAATCCACGCCCATGGATGTCCAAATCCATGTGACATCAGCTGCAGGTTCAAAGGTTAACTCAGAGGTTAACTTAGTCTTAGTTTCCAGCTCCTCAAAAATGCTTCCCAATGTGTTCTTGCATCCCTTTAAATTTCCCTGTCAAGCCTAACTTTCTGGAGTTATGCATCTTTGTGGTTGAATCTTGCCAGAAGAGGTGCTAGCTGTCAGCTTTGA